TTTAGGCTTGATTGTCTTTCACATCCTTCCAACAGAATCATTTGGGGGAAATTCCTGTGGACTAGCCATCTGGATTAGGGTTAACACAGGCGTATTGGGGCTTCTAGACACATAAAAGAACTTATTTCTCCTAAAGTTCATCTTGCTCCATGATGAGACCTACCTAGAATGTCTGCATGTGTGTGTATATATATTATCTCACCTTAGCCAGATATTCTACATGTGTCTGGAACCAATTTGATGGTCCTCTGAAAGCTATGTATATTGTATACCTGTTAGTGGATTTAATAAAAGAGGGTTGTAAAGCCAGGATTGATTTGCAACAGCTTTGCCAGTAATTCAACCACTGTAAATAAGGCTGAGAAAGATTGATTCCTTATTGGCTATTTGTTTCCTAGGAATTGCTACCTGAACATGGTCAAATTAACTTATTGCTATCTAATATTACTATAGAGTTTCTAAGTGGAATAGCTTGTTGCATCTTCATTTTAAAGAGCCAGAGTTGGACAGTTTAATAATTAGCTCTTCTTTATGTAACTTTAATGCCTGACAAAACCATTTAGGAAAATGATCAATCCTCTCAAATTTATAACAAGTGTTGATATTTTTGTTTCCACATCTAATTACACACAAACTGGATAGATGAGATTAGGATCCTGAGGTTAATATGGTGTGTGACTCTCTCTGATTACATTCTATTAATAGTTAAAATAATTTCAAGATTTTGCTTAAAACTTTACCATCTTTTCCCTCTAATACAGACCAGCTAAAAGTAGCCTTAATAGACCTACGACTGGAAAATCATGTAACGGTAACATAACACTGTGCTTTGCTTTGATAAAAATTTCTGGGAAACTATAAAATCCCTTGAAAAAATTTGGCCTCAAATAATACTGAAATGAGGTCCCATATAAACTTCAGACATCAGTGGAAAACTTTTTATAAGCAAGCAACTTTAGATTTTTGGCAGGGGCAAGGGAGAATCTAAATAGCTGAGTCAACAATAAAGGCAGATTCTGGGTGTGATATTGTGATATATTGTAATTAGAAATATATATATATATATATATATATATATATATATATATATATATATATATATATATATATATATATAGTCTTTGTTCCCAAGTTCCTGACACAGAGCTTCTTAACCCTTTTGCTATGACAGTCAGATATATCTGAATGAATATACCTGAAATTTTTATACACAAAAATAATGTCACTTACATACAAAGCAGCTCAAATTGTTATTAAATGCATAAAATAGTCAAAATATCAACTTTTTGTTTTTTGTGGATTTATGACACATTTTGAAAAAAATTGTGAAATCAATAATGCAGCGAAAGTTAAAACCCATGGAATTTTCTGACTTGAGTGAGAGGAGCATCTTTTGTTACTCCTAATAAGCCCCCTTGGATCACACCCAAATTTATGCTAATGAGGTAATTCTTGTCATTTTCTTGAGAGCTTCAGGATGGAGGTTGATTGCCAAACGTACCAACCACTTGATTAAAGGTACTGAACTTTCAGCTCCAGCCTCCAATCTCAGGAGAGAGGGGCTGGAGATAGAGTTAATCACCAATGGCCAATGGTTTAATCATGCCTATATAATAGAACCTACATAAAAACCCTAAACAATGGGGTTTAGATAGCTTCTGAGTTGGTGAGTACATCCAGGTGCTGGGAAGGTGGTGCACCCAGAGAGGGCATGGAAGCTCTACACCCCTTCGCCATACCTAACCCTATGCATCTCTATTGTTTGGCTGCTCCTGAGTTGTAGCCTTTGTAGTAAAAGGTAGTAATAAGTAAAGTGTTTCCCTGAATTCAGTGAACCATTAAAGCAAATTACTGAACCTGAAGAGGAAGTTGTGGGAACCCTTGATTTATAGCCTATTGGTAGAAGAATAGGGGACAAACCTGGAACTTGTGACTGGCTTCTGAAGTGGGAAGAAGTCTTGTAGGACTGAGTCCTCTACCTGGGGGGTCTGTGCTAACTGGGTAGTGTCAGCATTAAATTGTATGACACCTAGTTGATGTCTGGAGAGAACTGGAGAATTGCTTGTTCTGGAAAACCCACACATTCGGTGTTAAACGTGCTTTATGATTAGAAACTGATCATAGTTTGTACTGGGTTTTTGAGATGCTTGGTTTGTTTTCTTAAGATAAATGGTAGAAGGGGAAAAAAATCTATAATCTGATAATGAGCTCTGAAAGTTTTGTAGAGTGAAGTGTTCCACCAGGCTGGGATCCAATAACCCTGTCCTTTTGAAAATCTCTGATCTGAAAAAGGCCTTAAGCAGAACATCCTTTTGCCAGAACTGTTAGCTCAGTGTGCCTCCATCCCCATTGTCGCCCAATTATTGATCTGAAATAGCTTCTCAGGACTTGTTTCCTTTAAATAGACTCAAAAGTCACATCTTATTCATTTAAAAATATGTTTCACCCTCATTGCCTTACTTTCTACCACAAACTATAGATCTAGTAACTCATTGACAAAGCTTTTTCTTCTTCTTCTGTTTTTAGAATTTGGTAATTCAAAATGTTACTTGTATAAGGAGCAGGAAGAGTTTGGGCACTAATCCAATATTAATCCCTGACATATTTTCTCATCAGAAAATAAGAATGTGAACTTTTTATGCAACTCACTCTTTTACCCATGGGCCAAAATCATTTTTTAAATAACAAATACACTAATTTTTCCATGTGCCATATTCAGTACCTAAACATTCATGCATGAAGAGCACCAGAAGTCAGCACTTCAGATACTTCTAAGAAAATCCAACCAGGAATTTACTCTGTTCCAGCACTTGCTAGCACCTCAGTTAAGCCATCTGATAGCCATGAAAAATAGCTAATGGGTATGTTAATTATGACTTCCCCCAGATCCTTTGAGTTCTAGCTCCATATTATCAGGAAAAAATTACCTAGACCCTATTATCTTTGTTTCCTCAAGACATGACTTCCTTAAGTCATAATTAAACATCATGCTGTTGGTTTTTAAAATAGTTACAATAAAAGAAACAATCATTTGAAGAATATTTCTGGAGTGTCTACAAAACTATAGTCAAAGACATGTTCGTTAAGTCACATGAAAATATACTTACTAAACCTTCCCACTATAAGGTGCTAGATAAACATAAATGCTGCCTTTTATCGAAGCAAGGGGACACATACCTTCATATATTCTCTTGGTTCTGACTTCTAGAAAGTTAGAAGTTAGTTCAGATTCAAGTTAGACTGTTCCTCTGGGTACTTGATACATAAGCACCCAATGAATTCACTGTAAGCTTCCTTGAAGCCAGCTCAGTGATATCTGCCCCCTCTCTGTGGCCCCTGCCCTCCAGTGGTTCTCAAGGGGAGGGGTGCTCTACAAAGGACATCCCTGCTCCATCTGGAAATCACTGGGGGTAATGAGAAATGTCCTGATGGAAATGAGTTGTACAGATGGCTAGGGTCTTTTTGACCATATATTTGATATGCATTTTGAAACAGCAGGCTGTATTTCTGTGTAAATACTGCTTTGGTTTTGCTAAGGTAGATAGTGAGTGAGAACAGTGCTGTATGTGCTGTTTGGTTAAAGCAGCTCTTTTCTGTTTCTTCTGTCTGACCCTGTTTATTAGTCACTCTCTAAAATAAAAGTCTGATTCTGCATTTTTTGCTCCCTTGGAAGACTATCCCTCCCTTTTCCTGGAGCAGCAATCAATTAACCCTCAACCTCTCTTTACTTTCTTTTTTCTTCTTAACTCAAAACACTTTCAGAGAAGGGCAGATGCTGGATTGTACCGTACTCACACGTTAGTATTTCAAGCCACTTCTCAACTTTGTTGGTAGAACATGGGGTCAATGAACACATAATTGTTTTCCATCATCATGTTTAACCTGAAGAAATATTTCAAGTGATGCTTAAAATCTGTGGGCTACAGAGGGTTTCAAGAGACCCCTGCCTTACCCAGCACATTTTCTTGGCAGTAGAGTGCTGGTCTGGACTTATCTAGTGGGGTAGCATGAGGAAGATAGGATTCAGACATTTTGCTTTTCATCTTTGAACTGTGTTAATAAACAACCTGGTTTCACATCGAGGGTGTCTGGCTGGCTCCAGAGTCCTCTACAGGGTCCTTGTCTCGCTTCTCTTGGGTCCATAGTAACCCCACACAGAAAACCTCTCCTACCCGCCTTCCTCTTCTTCTCCTTCCCATGTCCAAGTACCAAATCCTGATTATGTTACTCTGTAACTATCTCTGGGTTCTGTCTCCAACCGTCTCATTCCCCTAAGTCCCGCCTTAGCTAAGGCCTTAGGCTGCTGCAGCTGCTTCAGACCTCATCGCCCCTAGGGTGTGTCAAATCCACTCTCCATCAGCTGTTCCTGATCTTTGGGCTCCTAGCACCCCGTCCCAGAACAACTATGTTTCTCAGAGGATGCACAGGGCTCCACGTGGATATGGCCCTGCCTGTCCCCCAACTCTCTGTACTCATCTGAGCAGCCCCAAGTACCTGCGCGTCTCCAGAAGGCACCAAGCAGTTCGGCTCTCTGGCAGGTTCACTCATACCAGCCAAGAAGCCTTCCCGTATGCCTTACCCGCCCAAGACTGATCCTTATGCTCCTTAGCTATCCGTGCTGGTGCTGTCATCTGCTTTTGCACGTGGCCTCTGCAGCTGTGTGCATACTTTGGGAGGGGACTGTGTCATAATCATCTTTGTAGTCCCGGCCCAGGCCCAGGCCCAGGCCCAACAGCGATGCCCCCTAAACCTGGAAAACTTCTCCCTGCAAAGGAGCTGGTCGCCCACCCTCCGTGTGTCTTTTACACGGGGTGGGGAGATCTGGGCCCAGACAAGGTATCTAAGGAATCTCCACAGCATGGGCAGTTACCACCTGCCCAGTCAGGCCTCATGGCCCATGTGAGTAATGGTAGAAAATCCCACAGTCAACTGGATGCGGCGCTCAGGGGACTGGGCAGGCGCATGCGCCCGGTCGTCATGACAACGCGGCCACTCCGCGGGTGAGGGCTGAGGGGTCGCCTTCCGTCATGTCCCTGCCACCCTCTCCCGCTCCCACTCCGAGCCCTGGGCCGGCCTGGGTCCTGGCGGACCGTAGCGGTAAGAAAGGGTGACTTTCAGCGCCCGCCTGGCCCGGAAAAAAACGCGCAAGGGGTGCCGGAGCCCGAGCTGCGGGGTCGCACCAGCCGATTCCCCCCAGAAGGCTGGGGGCCCGAGGCGGCGGGCGGGAGGATGTCACGGGAACCCCAGCTGTGGCCGGGACTTTTGGGTGCCCTCCAAACGCAGGCAGGAGAGCCCTAAGTCCCCAAGAGGGAACCCCCTCCCTTCGAACGATAGATTGTCCTGAGGGAAGGTGTGTCTGTCGCTTTGCTCTCAGGGTCTCCGGGAAGGGTGATAGGTGCTCTTTGAAGGCCCCTTGTTGTGAAAACTCCAGAGAGCAGGGCCCAGGTGGGCAAGAGGGCCTTGAGACCATGCTGACTTTGCACCTCTAGGCCACCTCCGTTTTAAATATTTCTGCGCCCGTGAATTATCAATAGCAGAGTAAGCATAGCCTGCACAGCCCTCTTTCCCCGACAGTTTCCATTTTGGATGCTTGTTTTAAAGCGCCTGCTTGTATTACTAGATATGGAACTGTGCCAGAGCCTTACGTCTGCCTCACTGCGCCCGTGAGATGGGCTTTGTGATTTTCTGACTTTGTAGCATAAAGAGGAAATTTAAACTTTGAAAATTTAAGTAACGCATTCAAAGTCATACAGGCACCCAAGCCTGGATAGGCACCCAAGTCTGATTCGCTCTTGATCCTCAAGTTTCCCAGTACTTGGCTGTTCCAGTATAGAGGGACATAGGGAACCCCCTACCAAATGAGCCCTTTCTCTAAAGATTATAAAACGTGCTGCTAGGTGAAAAATTATTTGGAATTCAAGCCTTAGTCGTGGATGAAAAATGAAATTTGGGTTAGAGTCGTAACATTTCCCTGCATAGCTGGTTTTTCCTAGTTTTTGCTTTACAGTTTGAAGACTGATTCATTATTTTTCTTCTACAGTATAGGAAATAAATTAGTGGTGCCATAAAATCATGAAACAATACATAGGTGAATTTTAAAAGAGTAGCAGAAATATATAGTAGACTTTTAAACATTTGAAAGCCATGGCCAGGTAATTAAATAAATATTCTTGTAATTTAAGATTCCTTCATTCACAAAATCCTAAGTTGTGAGTCTGATACATTTCTTCATGTCCTGGGTGTGGTGCAGCCAGCTGAGGGCAGGCACTGAACCTCAGATCTTCAGGGCAATGATCTCCAATTTTAATACCAAAGAAGGTAGTAACCAGAAGGGAGAAAAGAAGCCACGTGGGAGCCCAACTCCAACAAGTAAACTTGCTTTGTTTCCCTGTCCTAGACGCTAAAGTAGCATTTTCTAGATTGCATTCCATTTGAACCGTGGTCACATGCCTAAGAAACAGAGCATTTTTATCCTCCCTCCCCTCCAGGCTCAACAATTTGAAGAATCTTTGTGTACCTTAGTGTTTTAAAATTCTTGAGATTCTCGGCCCGAACTGAGCTGCCAACAGGTGGCAGGATGGCTCAGCTAAAAAAATGAAAAGCTATACTGAAATGTTCCAATTTTGTTTAAAAATACATATAAAAGAAAAACAATAAGGAAATATCCCCAGACCTCAACTCTGGTGGCTCTGTGGTGGTGGGATTGCTGATGAATATTTATTTGATTTTTGATACTGAAATTTCCAAGTTGTCTGGAATAAGTGTGGGCTATTTATTATTTTTTAAAGCTTATTTTTAAAAAATACTAAGTTTATTTGCTTTCATTTTTAATATAAATATTACTCATCTCAAATCTTGTTTTGCACATTTGTTTAGCAAACTCTTTAGTTCATATAGTGCAGAATCCACTCAGCAAAGAACATCTTTGAGATATAGAGACTTAGAGAAGCTGGCTCTTAAAAATACAGTAAGTTCCCCGACTTATGAACATTCGAGTTGCGAACTTTCACAGATACGAACGGACCTTGCATTACAAACATTCGTAGATGCAAACAAATCGTGGTAGTAGCTCATGTGTCTGCCAGACATTGTCACAGTTGTACTGCTGTGTGCTCACTGTACAGTGCGATAGTGTACAGCAGTACAGTGATCAATCAAAGCCCAGGATGTCCGGAAGCAAGAGGAAAAGCAGTGGTGATGTGGAGGGGACTTCTAGGAAGCACAGACTCACTTTGTCAGACTTACAAACGAATCCGTTCTCCTGGAACGGAACTCATTCATAAGTCGTAAGTTGGGGACTTACTGTACCAGCCTAGTTGAGTAGTGAGATCTCTGAGCACAGAGTTTTAAAGAGACATACACAAAAGGTAGGACGAAACAAAGAAGTGGTAGGAAGCTTCCACCCCAAAAGGCCTGGGCCTCGAATAAAGATGCTTCTAAAGTAATTTCCCAACAGTAAGACCATACATAAAGGAAAGCTGCAGGTATAGCAGAGGAAGGAGATCTCAACTCCTGCTTTGTTTCTGTATTCTTAATTAAGAACTGAACAGAGAAAAATCGCCATTAGAAAGAGAAACTGAAAGGCAGGGTAGGTGAAGGACTTCTATGAACCAGGCCTTAAGTTAGTGTTAGGAAGAACTGACAGAACTGCATGGTGTAAAGGGTATCCAAGAAGCCTAAGGGACTGTCTTTATTTGAAGCCATCATAAGAAACCTTGAGTCACCTTAATCCAAAGTGGCAGAGTGGAAAGAAGCTTTGCAGGCAGTTTAATTCTATACTCTACCCTTATTAACTGCATAAGTTTGGACAAAATATTTAATTTCTCTGATATCATTTTCCTCAGCTACCAAGCCTGTTACATACGGAGGTTAGTTCTTTTATGTCACTTCCAAGTTAGTGTTTGTCCACCCTCAGTGGGTGCTTCTATGGCTCTGTTCTCCAAACAACATATTTATTCTCTCCCATTCCTTACTTGTGTCTCTCCTCTTTGTTCTTGTCTCCTTTTCTTCCCCACCCCCGACTCTATACACACATTTATATCTTTGAAAGAAGTGTAATTGGAGGGAGGGGGGGAAGCTCTTGGGATAATTTACATGTGATGAAGGATAATGGTAATGCATTTATTTTTCAAAAACTCCAGAACCTATTGGCAGTCTCCAGGAACAGTATAATAATCTATGTATGGAAAAGTCCCAGAAAATTAATCCTTTTATACTGCAAATACTTCAAGGAGTGGATGAAGAAATAAAAAATGGGTAAGGAAGATAAATTCTTGATTATATCATGGATGTAATCTGTGTGAAAATCCTGGAATACTGAGCGATTTCAAAGCTATTTGCAGATGCTTAGTAAAAAGGACATACCTTTTGATTCAGAGAAGTAGATGACTGACACTGTAAGTACCGTATTTCCCCATGTATAAGACGCTCCCATGTATAAGACACACCTTAATTTTGGGGCCCGAAATTTGAAAAAAAATATATTATATAAAGTTAATTGAAATCAAGTTTTATTCATCATAAAATTCATACAACTCATCACTGTCAAAACTCCCAACCATTAGCTTGTCCTCATCTGTGTCTGAAGACGAATCACTGTCTTCATATATTGCCTCGTCCTGAGTTCCATCTATGGCATTTGAAATGCCACACTTCTTAAATGACTTGACAATGATCCACAACCACTGTATAAGACGCACCCAGTTTTTAGACCCCAAATTTTTCGAAAAAGGGTGCGTCTTATACATGGGGAAATACGGTATGTCTTGGAGGTAGTAGAGTACACTGGGAAGAGCACTAGACCTGCAGCCTCCAAATCTGGACTCTGGGTTTGTCCTTAACTCCTATGAGCTGGGTTTATACAAATCACTGAAATCTTCAGTGTCATTATCTATCAAGTGGGGATACTTTTTATGTGTGAGAGAAATTAGATAATACAGTATATGCTAAAATGTTTTTTGCAAAACCTGTGGTATATTCAGTAGTTTTAAGTTACATGCTATCCATGATGTTACTATTTATGCACAAAGAAAAAATACCTTTATTTCTTTACTGAGTTTCTTGTTTGTATTTTAACAGATTGGAAGGAATCACATTAAACATTGCTGGTAACAATCGCTTAATACCAGTGGAAAGAGTAACAGGTGAAGATTTTTGGATTCTTTCCCGAGTTTTAGAGAAGAATCCATATATTAATGGTATGTCTCCTTAAAAATTATTACTCCTTCTTTCATTTTCCTGATTTAAAGTATTCGTTATAAGGAATATCAGCTTCTATTCATCTGTGTTCTTCAGGTTTGGATGTTAGATATAACCTCCTAAGTGATGTTGGCGCATACTATGCTGCAAAACTGCTTCAGGTATTATTTTACTGAAAAATGTTGTAGGTCTTTTTATTTTTTCCCCCCAGGAGCCAGTTAAGAAAGAGTCAGTCCATTCTTTGGAATGTGCAGGGTTTGAGCGAGCTAAGCCTAAGTTAACTTTATTGCAGATTCACTTTGGAAATACTCAAGCTGAAATGCTGCATTATAGTTGCATTTTTTAAGAAATAAATAAAGTACATCAGTCAGAGAAGGTGTACTTAAAGAAAAGGCCTTGTTTCAACCTCAGAAGATTGGCAAATATGTGTTTGGATTTTCAGTTAAAATGTTTAAAGCAGCATGTATCATTTTCTTTTGAGTCCTCCCTTGCATTTGGCTTTTTAATTTCCTGACTACTGGTCCCAGTCTCTTCTGCTAAAAGTGCTTCGAATGAGCTTAAAATGATCCTAAAATTCTCATATTCATGAAATGGCACACAATGTAAGGGCGAGTGAAGATTAAAAAATGAAGTAACCATGTTATTGTCAGCAAACACAAGTAAAAATGCTGCAAAAATCGTCATCAAAATGTTCTTAGTTCTGTTTACAGTGAAACCACCTAGTCTAATGGCACACAGACAAAACACTAGTTTTGCAAAATGTCAAGGGTCCTGACTTTATGCTATATTTATACTTAAAATAACTGAAAACTCATTTGTGCAGTTGGTCTCAGTAGAGCTGTAAATAGAGCGCCCGAGTCATCTTTTGCAAACTTGAACATACCACGTACAGTTAAATACATAAAGCACATCCATACTTTGAATCATTGGTCAAAACTGAACATAGTTGTTTTCTTTCATTTAGATTGCAATTATATTTATGTTTAAATGAGAATAGTGATTTTTTTTTCCCTTAATGGTAGTTTCTTTTGCTAGACTTGCAGATTTTCTGGTTTATAAAGATTTTTTTTGGAGGTAAATACTTTTACCTAAATAAAGCAGCTTATATATTATTGATTGATTTCTAATACATGTGTAAAAGTTTCTTTTCTCTCCTTATAGAAACAATACAATCTCATTTACTTAAACCTTATGTTTAACGATATTGGGCCTGAAGGTGGAGAATTGATTGCTAAAGCACTACATGTAAGTATTTCTATACCTCAAACTAACATTGTATTTGGGAATTTTAACTTCTGATAGCTTGGAACCAACAGAATCAAATGTTAATGTGAACTTATTTTAATATTGTGGGAATGTATATTTTTATTACACTTCAGTTTATTAAAATGTGGACATTACATGAGCACTTTTGAGCTCATTTTTAAAATAAATAGTTTTGTTAAGATAGAATTCAAATACATAAAATTTACCTATTTATTTATTTAGGAATTGGGGAAGGGGAACAGTGTTGGGGAATTGGGGAAGGGGAACAGCCAAGTTGTTGTCCTTCAATCTTAGTTGTGGTGGGCACAGCTAGCTTAGTTCCCAAGTCCCGTTGCCATCCGGTTGCCCGATGGCAGCTTGGGGCAGCTCAGCTCAAGGTACCGTGTTCAATCTTAATTGCAGGAGGTGCAGCTCACCATCTCATGTGGGAGTCAAACTGGCAACCTTGTTGTTGGGAGCATGAGCTCTCTCACCAGCTGAGCCATCCTGCCACCTGTTGGCAGCTCAGTGGCAGCTCAGCCCGGGCACAGCTCACTGGCCCATGTGGAAATCGAACTGGTGACCCTGTTGCTCAGAGCTCTCACTCTTAACCAACTGAGCCACTCAGCCGGCCCAAAATTTACCGTTTTAAATTTGCCCTTTTACATTCACCACTCGCAGCTTTTAGAACATTTTCATTCCCACCAGAAGTCATGTGCCCATTAGCAATCCCTCTACATGCTTTTCTCCCTCACGCACCAGCCATTCATCTACTTTCCATCTATGGGTTTGCCTACTCTGGACATTTCATATAAGTGGAATCATACAAAACGTGGTCTTTTGTGATTGGCTTAATGCTTCCAAGGTTCATCCTTTTTATTGCCAAATAATATTCCTTTGTAGGGGTATATCACATTTTGTTCATCCATCTGTTAATGGACATTTGGGTTTCCACTTTTTGCCTCTAATGAGTAATGCTATTACGAATATTTGCACACATTTTTGTGTGAACTTTTTTTATTTTCTTGGGCATATACCTAGGGGTGAAATTGCTGGATCATTTGGTAACTCTGTTTAATATATATATTTTTTATTAGTTTCAGGTATACAAAACAATGTAATAGACATTTATACACCCCTCACAAAGTGATAAACGCCCCCCCATCTACTACCTGTCTGACATCGTATATAGCTGTTACATTTCCATTGACTGTATTCCCTATGCTGTACTCCATAGCCCATGACCATATATATATTTACTTAATTATAGTTGACATTCAATATTATTCAACTTCAGCTTTAGGTGTATAGCACAGTGGTCAGGCAACTATACAGTCTGTGAAGTGGTCTCCCTAATAAGTCCAGTGCCCATCTGGTACCCTACATAATCTTTACAACATTATTGATTATATTCCCCAAACTGTATTTCATATCCCTGTGGCTATATTGTGACTAATAATTTGTAACTTCTAATCTCTTTACCTTCTCCCCCATCCCCACACTCCTCCCATCTAGCAACCATCATTTTTTTCCCCCCTATATCTTTATTTCTATTTTGTTTGTTTGTTTATTCTGTTCTTTAGATTCTTCTCCATCTGACTTATTTCATTTAGCATAATATTCTCTAGGTCTATCCATGTCATTGCAAATGGTAAGATTTCATTCTTCTTTTTGGCTGAGTAATACTCCATTGTATAAATATACCATAGTTTCCAAATCCAGTCATCTACTAATGGACATTTCGGTTGTTTCCATGTCTTGGTTGTTGTGAATCGTGCAGCAATAAACTTAGGGGTGCATATATTGTTTCAAATTAGTGTTTTGGATTTCTTTGGATAGATACCCAGGAGTGGAATTGCTGGGTCTTATGGTAGTTCCATTTTCAATTTTTTGAGGTAACTCCATACTTTTTTCCATAGTGGCTGCACCAGTCTGCAGTCCCACCAACAGTGCACCAGGGTTCCCTTTTCTCCACATCCTCACCAGTACTTGTTGTTGGTTGATTAATTGATGATAGCCATTCTGATCAGAGTGAGGTGGTATCTTGTTGTGGTTTTTATTTGCGTTTATCTAATGATTAGTGAGGTTGAGCATTTTTTCATTTGTCTGTTTGTCGTCTGTATGTTGTCTTTAGAGAAATGTCTCTTTGTGTCCTCTGCCCATTTTTTAATTGATTTGTTTGTTTTTTTGGTGTTGAGTTGCATGAGTGTTTTATAAATTTTGGATATTAACCCCTTATTAGATGTATCATTGGCAAACATCTTCTCCCATTCAGTAGGCTGCCTTTTTGTTTTATTGATGCTTTCCTTTTCTGTGAAAAAACTTTTTAGTTTGATGTAATCCTGCATGTTTATTTTTTCTTTTGCTTCCTTTGCCTGAGGGGATATATCAGTAAAAATATTACTAAGGGTAATGTCTGCAAGTTTACTTCTTACATATTTTCTTCTAGGATTTTTATGGTTTCGGGTCTTACATTTAATTCTTTAATCCATTTTGAATTTATTCTTGTATATGGTATAAGAAGGTGGTCCAGCTTCATTTTTTTTGCATGTCTGTCCAGTTTTCCCAGCACCATTTATTAAATAGTCTGTCTTTACCCCAGTGTAAATTCTTACTTCCACTGTCATAGATTAAATGACCATATAGGCATGGATTTATTCTGTTTAATATTTTGAGGAGCTGCTAAACTGTTTTCCAAAGTGGCTGCTCCTTTTTACAATTTCACCAACAATCTATGAGTGTTTCGATTTCTCCACATCCTCACCAGCATGTTATCTTTTTTATTTTAGCCATCCTAGTGGGTATGAAGAGGTTTTGTGGTTTTGATTTGCATTTCGTTAATAAATAGTGATATTGAGCATCTTTCCATGTGCTTTTTAGCTATTTATGTATCTTTGGAGAAATGTCTATTCAAATCCTTTTCCCATTTTTAAATTGGATTTGTCCTTTTGAGTTTTAAGAGTTCTTTATATATTCTGGATACAAGTACCTTATCAAATATGCATTTTGCAAATATTTGCTCTCATTCTGTAGATTGCCTTTTCATTTCCTTAATGGTGTCCTTTGAAGCACAAATTATTTTTTTAATAAAGATTTTATTGGGGAATCTTGGGAGGGCAACAGCGCTGGGGAATCGGGGAAAGGGGAACAGACAAGTTGCTGTCCTTTTGTTCTTTAGTCTAGTTGTGGAGGACGTCGCTTCACTGGCCCATGTTGGTATCATCATTGCGCTCTTCCTGGCTGAGGCAGATTGGCCGCCAGCCTCTGAACTGCCGCTCACTGCAGCTGCTGGCCGCTCACGCTGGCTGCTGGCTACACACGGTAGCCTATGGCAACCCACTGCAGCCGGGGCTGCAGCCTACGCTGTTGCCGGCGACTCACAGCAGCCAGCTCCAGGTCGAGCTGTTGTTCACCATCTTAGCTGTAGAGGGCAGTGTCACTGGCCCTCATGTGGGATCCAAACCGGGTCCCTGCTGCTCAGAGCTGGTGTCCCAAGCCAGCTCGTAATGAAACGTGCCACTTGGCTGGCCCTGAAGCACAAATTTAAAAAATTTTTTTTAAATTTTGATAATGTTCAGTTTACTTTTTCTTTGTTGTTTGTGCTTTTGGTGTTATATCTAAGAAGGCTTTGCCTAATCCAGTCACAAAGATTTACATTTAAATTTCCTTCTAAGAGTTTCATAGTTTTAGCTTTTTCATTTAGTTTTTTGATCCATTTTTAGTTAATTTTTGTATAAGATTTGAGCTAGGAGCTTAACTTCATTCTTTTGCCTGTGGATATATCCAGTTATCCCAATGCCATTTGTTAAGACTATTCTTCTTCCATTGAATTTTCTTGACACCCTTGATGAACATCAATTGATCATAAATGTGAGAGTTTATTTCTGTACTCGCCATGTGTATTCTGTTAATCTATATTCCTGTCCTCATGCTAGTGTCACACTATATGATTACTATAGTTCTGTAGTGAGTTTTGAAGTCAAGAAGCGTGAGTTCTCTTTGTTTGTTTTTCAAGATCATGTTGGCTCTTTTGGTTCCCTTAAATTTTCATATGAATTTTAAGATTATTTTACCAATTTCTGCAAGAAAAGAGGCTGAGATTTTGAGGGGAGTTGCTATAAACCTTTAGATCAATTTGGGGAATATTGCCATCTTAATGATACTGTCTTCTGATCCATGGGATGTGTTTCCATTTATTTAGGTCTTTAATTTCTTTCATTGATGCTTTGTCATTTTCAATGGGCAATTCTTGCCCTCCTTGTGTTAAATTTATCCCTAATAGTTTATTCTTTTTGATGTTATTGTAAATGGAATTTTTTTAATTTCATTTTTGGATTGTTCATTGCTAGTGTATAGAAATACAGTTGATTTTTGCTCATATATATTGATCTTGTGTCCTGCAGTCTTGATGAACTTGATGAAGTCTTGATGTTTATTAGTTCTAACAGCTTTTTTTTTTTTTTTTTGGATTCCTTAGGATTTTCCACATGTAAGATTATGTCATATGCAAACAGAGGTAGTTTTGCTTCTTTTCCAATCTGGATGCTGTTTTGTTTTGTTGTTGTTTATTTGTTTGTTTTTCTTGCCTAATTGCCTTGTCTAGACTCGCCAGTACAATGTTAAATAGAAGAGTTAAAGGGACTTCCTTGCCTTCTTTCTGCTCTTAGGGGAGTTTGAATTAGTTTTAAAGATAATTATTTGCACTTACATGTCCTAATATTTATTCGTTAGGACAATAAAGTGTCTGTAATTTTTTTTGTGAATGATGTACCCAAAGAGTGGAATAAAAGGACGAGTTAAATTTTGCAAATGTCTGAGAAACATCTCTTTACAAGTTATATAAAGGGAATGTGAAGCGACTTCCCAGTGGGTACAGGGTCTTCTTTGTGGGTGATGAAAATGTCTTGGAACTAGCTAGAGGTGATGGCTGCACAACATTGCAACTATGCTAAAAGTCAGTGAATTGTACACTTTAAGATGGTTAATTTTGTGTTATGTGAATTTCATCTCAATAAAAAAGTGGTGTAATTTTCTTAGAAGATAAATTTATAGATTCCTCCAATGAAAGGAAAGTTTATTAAAAATCTTCTTCTTTGGGCTAGCCGAGTGGCTCAGTTGGTTAAGAGTTGGCTTGGGAGCATGAGCTCTGAGCAGCAGGGCCATAGTAGGTTCGGTTCCCACATGGGCCAATGATGCTGTGCCCTCTACAGCTAAAATGGTGAAAAACAGCTCAACCTGGAGCTGGACTGCCATGAGTGGTCGGCGATAGTGTAGGCTGCCGTGAGCTGCCATGAGCACCTGTGAGCCTCCATGAGCGGCTGTCCAATGGCCAGCCACCGACTGCCTCAGCCGGGAAGAGCGCAATGATCATAATACCAACATGGGCCAGTGAAGCCACGTCCTCCACAACTAGACTAAAGAACAAAAGGACAGCAACTTGTCTGTTCCCCTTCCTCGATTCCCCAATAAAATCTTTAAAAAAAAAAAAACTTCTTCCTTGACCAGTCATTGTTTGGGCATGTTTCCTGGGCATTCTTTCTACTAAACTATTAAACTAGATTTTTATCTATTATTGGAAATTGAATGTTACATTTAAAGAATATATCTTATGTACATGAAAAATAGATGAGTCTGCAAATATAATAGTAATATAGTCGCCTAACTCATGTAATCTAAAGAGAATTCTGTGGATTAAAAATTTAGCGAATTTATGATTCTTTTCCTTTTCAGACGAATACAACTCTGAAATACCTAAGAATGACTGGAAACAAGATTGAAAATGAAGGTGGAATGCTTTTTGCTGCAATGCTACAAATTAATTCATCCTTAGAGAAGTTAGATCTGGGTGACTGTGATCTGGTGAGTGAATTGGTTGTGAGAAAATCACCCAGATAGTGGATCATTCTCCCTGGAAACTATCAGAGAGAATTGTTAGAGTCCAGCTAAGTGACAGTCTTATGAATGATGAAGCTTGCCCCTAATGCCTAATATCAGAGAAGAAGCTTTTTTTTTAAACCTAGGCATAATAGTGCTGACTGTTAATAAAATCAGATTGTAGTAAATAATACTATAGAATAGCCAGCATAATAAAAAGCTTCCTAAATGTCCATCCATAATGCTGCTTAACCTGTATGGCATTTTAAAAGGAGAATGATTGCGTTCATTTTAATTAAACAAATACTACTTCGTTAGTATAATACACATTTTTTACTTTTTAAAACATTTTGGAGTAGTTATATTGTAGCATTCAAACCTAAAATTGTGATGCTGAAAGCTGTCCTGGGCCTTCATCTGGCCTGATAATGAGAAGTGTGTGTTTTTTGCATGTCTTCAAATTCCAGGCTTCAATTTCTCAAACATGCTTTCAAACCTTGAGGCCAGTTGGGAACCTATTGTACAGATTAATGCAAAAGCACTTGGACACGCAAACAATACGATGGGCCAGGAGGCTCTTTGGGGTGATAGGTCCTGACGCTGAAAATAGTAGTAGATGCAGCTAGGATGGTTCTGGGAAAGCATTAATGCAATATATATTGTCTACACATACCAGTCACAATCCTAGATTCTAGGGATACAAGAGTGCATCGGATATGGTCTCTGTCCTTAGAAAGCTTACATTTAGTTGGGAAAATTATCAGTAAATAAAGTGCAATGAAGGTGGCCAAGTACTCTTGATAACGGGGAGAAGATAATTTGCATGATAGGATTGTTGCCTAAGACCTGAGGAAGTAATACCTAGGAATCATGAAGGATGAGAAAAAACTACCTCCGAGAGGGTCCATGGCAGAATGCTGTAGGCAAAGAGTTCAGGTACACACAGGCGCCAAGATAGTGCTTCTCCAAGTGTGGTATGGATAGTATTACTGATACAGATTGACATAATTTTAATACTCATGTAGATGCTTTGTTTATTTCAAGAGATTATGGTTTTCCATTTATGGTAGTGATATAGAGTTTTAAAATAAAGTGAAAAAGTAAGTTGATTTAATGGGAAATTCTTAGGTAAATAGTAAAACTTATATTCAGATAGGCAAAAATCACAAGGGCGGTACATGAAGAGTGAAATGTCAAGTCTGGCAGGTTTTCAGAACTGAAAAGCCAGGTGGCTGGACAGGGGGAGTTATAAAGTGTGCATCACAGTGAAGGTGGGAGAGTCGCAGGAGCCAGAATCCTGCGAGGCCATGTTGGGTGTGGGTGTGGGCCATGGGGCCAGGGGAAGAAGAGGGGATTTTGTTACAAAAGCAAACTATGGAAAGGCCTGAAGTTGAAAGGTGACATGATCAGACTGGTGCTTTTAAAAGATCATTCTGGTTGCTCTGTGGGGAATTAGAGGGTTGCAAGAGGAAGCCCACTGACCACTTAGGAAGTTGCTGCCGTGGTTCATGTGGGCGATGAGCACTGGGGGTGGGGGGGTGGCCAGAGGGATGACTAATTTGGGACATCTTTTGGAGGCAGAGCCTAAGACTTACTGATTAACTGTATGGCGGGGAGGTCAGAGGACTTGTGTAGTGAGAGGAGGCACAGGTTTCCTGGCATAACAGCTGGGTGTGTGTGGTATCCATCTCTGAGGTGGGGGAGGGTTAGGCCCTTGCAGTGAGGTAGAGAGAGAGGTCTGTGGGAGCTGTGAAAAATGTGGTTAGTAACCCTTTCCCGTCACACTTAAAAGTACAAGTATGAATATAAAAGAATGCTGGCACAAGCATATGTGTTCTCAGGAGTATAGAGCCCTACCTGGGGTCCATGTGTGTGTATCTGAGGTCTGCATCATATAGAACCCTGAGGGCTTAGGAGCAAACCTAAAGGCAAACACCCTAGGAAATGGATTCTGCAACTTGAAGGAAGTCTCCATGCATGCTGTAAATAGATGTTAGGACAGGGAGAAAAGAATGCAGTAACAGTTCATTTCTGAATTTGATCAACCTACAATTCAAAGAGCAGGAAATGCTTAAACTTTTTAAAAACACAATTTTGATTTATCAGACTCCAGATTACTAATCTTGAAATATTTCTGTAGGGAGGTTAATTTATAGGATTTGTCGGTTTCCTTAATGAATGTACCTGTTTTTAGGGAATGCAAAGTGTGATAGCATTTGCTACAGTCCTAACTCAAAACCAAAAAATTAAAGGAATAAACCTAAACCGACCTATCCTGTATGGTGAACAGGTATGTATTTAAAGTGATGGTAGTTAATATCACCACATGTGAATAAAACAAAGGTATTACTTAATGTCATGTCAAGGTTTCCAAGTGCATTGTATTTTTAAAATTGTAAACTACTGTTTACAAACAAAAACTTTTAAAGGAAAATTAATTCTTGATAAGAGTTTTATAATTAAATATGATTTTAGATGTTGTTTGCTTAAGCAGTAAACATCATTTTTTTTTCTCATAAACTCAGATTCTCATTGAGAATCTGATGAGATGGGTAAAGTAATTACAATGAAAGCATTAATGATTAAAGGCTGGGTTATAAACCTGGTATGAACTATTTTGTTTCTGCTATATTGATGTGACTGAACCATTATATCTTTGAAATGGTTTTTACTTTTAAGACTTCTCTTGCTCCTTAACATTAAGTGGCTTCTCTCTTATAAGTTGTAAAAAGCTAGGGAATAAGAACTCATTTTATTATTGATTTAAACAAAAACAGAGTTATTTACTATAACAAAAAAAGGTTCAAAGTAGTTTATATAGACTTCAAATTATCTACCTCACTGTTCCCTATTAGTATTAGTAATTGAGAATTAACCATATTTTTAAAGTATTTTTCATATTCGAAAGTGTTTTGCATGCTTTGCCTACATAGATCTCTCCCTCTGAATTATCTCTGCACTTTTCTGTACCAAAATTTTTGGAATTTTACATTATATTAATTGTTTCATGTATATAAATCTAATCTGTTCAACAAGACACCCAAAATCCTTAAATACAAGAGCCCTACTTTAAAGACCAGCAAAGGGCCGGCCGGGTGGCTCAGTTGGTTAGAGCGCGAGCTCTGAGCAACAGGGTTGCTGGTTCGATTCCCACATGGGCCAATGAGTTGTGCCCTATCTGAGCTGGACTTGGAGCTGAGCTTGCGCCCTCCACAACTAAGACAGAAGGACAACTTGGCTTGGAACACAAAATGTTCTCCTTCCTCAATTCCCCAACACTCTTCCCCTTCCCACTTCCCCAATAAAATCTTTTAAAAAAATAAAATAAAGACCAGCAAAATACCGGGCTCAAAGTAAGCATTCAGGGGCCGGTCGAGTGGCTCAGCTGGTTAAGAGCTCGCTTGGGAGCAGCAGCTCTGAGCAGCAGGGCTGCGGTTCAGATCCCACATTGAGGCCAGTGATGCTCACCCTCTACAGCTAAGATGATGAACAGCTCCACCTGGAGCTGGGCTGCTGTGAGTCACCTGCGACGGACGGCGTAGGCTGCAGTGAGCTGCAGTGGGCTGCTGTGAGCTACATGAGTGGCTGGCAGCGGGCGAGAGCTGCCGTGAGCGGCCGACCAATGACCGGCGACCAATTGCCTCACCCAGGAAGAGCACAATGATCATACCAACATGGACCAGTGAAGCGACGTCCTCAAAAACTAGACTGAAGGACAAAACAGCAATTTGTCTACTTGTCTGTTCCCCTTCCCGATTCCCCAGTAAAACCTTTAAAAAAAAAAAAAGTAAGCATTCAGTGAGCTGCCCCATTCATGATTCACTCACTTCATACATACTTGAATGCAGCGCTAAATCAGACACACTGCTGCGAACTAGAGATGAGTCACAGAAAGCTCATGGCCCTGGTCTTCAAGGAGCTTTCAGTCCACTTGCAGGGAGATCAACAAGTTTGGAGGGTGATATGCTCCGGGGCCTTGGGAGCATGAGGAAGGGCACTGAAATCAGTGCAGGGGCTGGGGAGGCTCTCAGATTGAGGATCACAGGAGATCTGAAGGCTAAATAAGTTTTCCGGGTTAAACCCCTGAGGAAGCATGTTAAACTGTATGAAATTAGAAGCACAATTCCTCTTAAATATGTCGAGTGATGTCGTTATTCCCAAATCCACCTGAGAATAGTTATTAAAAGCCCAGGGCCCTTGCTCAGGCCCATGCCTTTGTTCTCAGCCCTGTGCTCTGGGCAGTCAGCTAAACTCTAGCCTGCTTTCTGTTATTGCTTGGTGACCCTCTCTATCACCAAGTACCATTCTCCTCTTCAGTGGCTGTGGAGAATTCTCTGTGCTTCCTCATACTTGGCTGTTCTCAGATGTGACCCTGCACACTTATTTCATTTAAGAGTTTTGCTGTTCATTATCTGGGGGGCTTGCACAAGTATCGATGCCAGATAAATTAAGTCACGTATTCAGCGAATGGAGCTAAAAAAAACCACACTTTACCATTTGACACTAGTTCTTTCCCTTAATAGGGGTGGTCCCTCTTTCAAACTTCTTGACCAAAAAATGCAATCTGAGTAAAACACAAATATGTATTGAGTATGTCCTCTGTTCCAGGCACCATGCAAAACAATACTGGACTCTTTAAGTGATCAGTTTGCATTTGTTAAGATCACACACTACAGTTTCCCCTTTGGGTGTATATTTTCATTGCCAAAGCAGTAATTTAAACAAATCAGATACAGTATTATAGAATATTGAAGTACAATAAATGCTTTGTAGTTTCCTATAGGACACTTATTTTGTGCCAGGTACTTTTTTATTTAATTCTGCGAGGGAAGTATAATTGCACCTATTTTACAAAAAAAAAAATAACTGAGACTCGATGAAATAATTTGCCCAAAGTCATATAGCTAGTAAAAGGCAAAGTTAGCATTTGGACAGTTTAATTATAAAGCTCATCTAAAAAGTGCTATTGCTGTGTTGTTTCATTGACCTTTTATTAGTTTTTCTCAAAGTACGTTTACAGTACTTTGGCATTTTATGTCACTTAGGCATTTTACAAGTGCCTGCTGCCTGTTTCTAAGACAGTAAAGATATCATTTATGGCAAAAATGTTATTTTTTAAAAGCCAGGCCAAACAAGTATAAATTGTAGGCTAATAGTCTTAACTGATATAATCTTTTTAAAAGGCTAATTTAAGTAACTTAGCATATGTTTGGAATGTACTGCTTCAAAATTATATTTTAGAAAAAAGATTTTATTTTTAGGAAGAATCCACAGTTCATCTAAGCCACATGTTAAAAGAAAACCACTGCCTTGTTGAACTGCACATGAATAAACATGACATAAGAAACGGTGGTATAAAACAGTTATGTGATGCTCTGTATCTGAACAAAAGCCTGCGCTACCTTGATGTCAGCTGGTAAGTGATAATTTGGACATTAAGTAATTCAGAAGTTTAGTCATAGGAATAATCTACGTAAATATTCATAGTACATAGGATATTTTGTTAGAGACTAATTCCAAAGATTAGAAATTGCCACCACTGTTGTCAACTTTTTATCCTCAACCTTAGAATTTATTTAGTTTATACTAATACTAATCTCTTATTAACTTGAGTGAGCAATTTAATTATGTAAACCAGAATGAAAGCAACATTTTATGGCAAATTTTCTCTAACTTTTTTGGAAATTGAGTGATTAAAATAAATCTTTACTAAAATAGAAAGTACTTTTTATAACTATATAACAGTTTACATGTTATCTCTATGAATAAAATAATACTTCATATTTTCAAATATGACTACATATTTTTCCTTTCCCAGCAATAAAATAACTCGTGATGGAATGGTGTTTTTGGCTGATGTACTGAAAAGCAACACTACCCTGGCAGTAATAGATCTTTCTTTTAACAGAATAGAAACTGCAGGAACAAAGTATCTCAGTGAAACTCTCACTTCACACAACAGGAGTCTCAAAGCGTTAGTATGGTTTCATATTTAACCAAAGTAACAGAAAAACTTCAATTTTTAGAATACTAACCTCAAGCCCCTTAACTCCTACGATTCATGATGAAATATGAAAACTCAGTTTCTAAACTGACATATTAAGTTTAAACATTTCCCTTTCTTTTCTTTTTCAAAAGTAGTATCTTTTACAAATTAGATTGATTCTAGTTTTCTTAGATTAATGAGAAAATTCTTATTTCTTATATTACTTATCCTGAATTCTAACAGAAAAATTATAATCATTCAGTGTGATCAACTTAAAAATAAAAATGGAAGAAAATATTACTTGGATGGCTTTATCTTGAAAAATGTGTCTGTAGTCCACCCCTAATTATTTACTAAATATAAAATGACAGTCAATTAAACGAGTCAATAGCTCTACAGGTATATGGAGCATACAATTAGAAAACAGTTTCTCGGATATTCAGAATTACATGTTCGATATTTTGGCAGTATATTAAACATATTTAAGAATAACGCTAAGACTTTACACAATAAAATGTAATACATGTTGTTGCCAACTTATGCATTTTCTCTTTGTGGAAGTATTGATTTCCAAGATTATTACTTTTCCTTATTCTGTAGGTTGTCAGTAGTCAGCAACAGCATAGAGGGAGAAGGACTCATTGCCCTTTCACAGTCAATGAAAACAAATCTCACTCTCTCTAATATCTACATTTGGGGAAACAAATTTGATGAGGCTACATGTGTGGTAAGTTTTTTTCTTCACTGAAGGTATTTTCTGGGGTCTTCTCCATAACATCAGACATTATTTACAATTACTTACAAGTGCCTTAGGAATGATTAGCGTATAGTGAAACACTATGGTACTAAACATTAGGTCCTAAAAATTAGCTACTGGAAAGTTTTATGGTTGAAATAGCAAAAGATACCAAATACTATATATGAGTATAAACATCACACACTAGACGCTGTGTAAATTGAGTGTAGAATATGCAAGCTAAAGCAGAAAGCAACTAGACTTTTACATCTTTTACTGTTAGAAGTTTTGCCTTTCTCTATAATCGCAACCTTACTGACAAACCAGTTTACCATGTTTGTATGACACTCTTACATAGATACCAATGATCTATAAAAGATAGACAAAGAAACTTCTACAATGAAGAAATAATTGGGTAGCCAGCCCAGGCAGTAGCAAATACTATGGGGATTGTCTCTGAGCCTAAATCTGTAGGTCAGCTTCAGGAGTTCAACTCCATCCAGCTGTATGCCAAAATCTGTGGTGGTTTACTCTTCTGAGAAGTGGGTCCCTGGCTATCAGCAGATCTTCAAGGGCATATACAGTAGTCCTCCCCCTCATTTAAGAACCTCTGTGGGTCTTGAAAATTTTGATCATGGGACTTTTGGTCCATAAAATTGGTAATACAGAGAATTGTTAACTCAGGGAGTCACTTAAAAAAAAAAAAAGAAAAACATGCCTATTAGAAATAAGTTTTACAAGATTATAATTTCATTGTGTGAAATTAAATGAATAAAAACCTAACCACAATACCTGGAAAATATTGAAAAACTCAGCAATGTTATTCAGAATAGTTTATTTTAAACTGCAAATTAGCACAGCTAATTTGTTTAAGCACTGTAAAATGAATAAATTATTTTCTTAATGATATAGTTTTTCTTTTCTTAAAAATCTTAGGCATATTCAGAGTTAATTCAAATGGGCTGTCTAAAACCAGACAATACAGATGTGGAGCCATATGTGGTGGACGGGCGTGTACATCTTGCAGAAGTCTCCAATGGCCTGAAAAAGCACTATTACTGGACACCAAGTTACGGAGAAGCTTGCAGCCACTCAGCTAATGCAGGTTCTAGTCTTGTACCAGTAGGTCAACATCTATGAAAAACAAGCTGTAAAATGGTTTTTACATATTTGTCTTACTATGTTCACAGAGATTAAAATTTTATTGCCTATTAAATTTTTCTTTCATAAATTAGAACGTTATTTTTGTCAAATGCGTAAGATACGACTGTATTAAACTTTGTATAAACTGTTCATTATGAAAAACTGAGTAGTATAATTTGTAAAAAGAAATCTTACAAAATAGAGACTAAAGTTTTAACCCTGGAGGAAGAAATCAAGGAACTAATTTATTTTTATAAAGAAAATATAACCAAGTAGTAAAATAGTATACAAGGAAAGGTCATTACAGGTATGCTAACTTCAAGTTGTCATGAACTGGTAAAAAAGGTTTCAGGTGGCAGATTCTCAGGGAATTCCAAGGGGTTTAGAAGTTGAAAATTTTATGTCTTATTTATGTATTACAGATGGGTGCTGATACAATCTCACAAATACAGGTAAATATATATAAACATACACATATACAAATATTGGATTGTCGGAAAAGTCATGACATATTTTGTCTATGTTTTTCAAAGGTCATTTATTTATATAAAGAACGAAGATCAATCAGTGATATATTGCCTGTTTTGTTTGATAACCTTTTGCCATCTTTCAGTGAGCTTCATAATTCCTCGTTCATAGAAGGACCTGTCTTTATTTGCGAAAGACTGAGCAAGGTGCTGATTTATAGCTTCATCTGAATTGAACGTTTCTAAGATCTTCAGCATGCTAAAACACTTTCAAAAAACTTAGTGATACTTAATAGACCTTTCTCATGCAAATATCTATTACATTGTTTTGTACACCTGAAACTAAAAAAATAGACCTTTCTCAAAACACTGCATTATAACAAATATATTTAAAGATGACCTTAACTAAAATGATAATTATGAGTGTTAGAATGATACCAGATACAACTAAAATATATGCACATTATGATAAAGGATAGGATGGCATTATGAGAAGAATGACAAGACAGGATATTCAGTCTTCAATCTTTACCTGTCATTCATCAAGCCATGTCAATTTAAAATAAAATTACTGTAGTTAAGAAGCAGGTGTGATGAAGAAAAACACAATCAACCTTAGGCACTCCAATATAATAATACTAAAAATAAATTTGAAGGCTAATCTATGCAAAGGCAAAATGCTAATTACCATCATTTTAGAGGAAACTTGGTAACTACTGCTCTCATAGAATTATGACATTACTGTAGCAGTTTTAATAAGAAATTTTGTTCATTAGGTGCTTGGAATAATGAAGATGTGAATTAAATATAACCTCTCCATTTCAGCAGACTTCTTAAAGAGGCTGAGTCTTTCAGTTTTCTTTAATTTCTTCACATTCCAATAAATTCCTATTGAATTTGTCAGAATAGATTAGTTGAACATTTTATAACTATAAATTGTATTTAAACCCAGTGTATTAAGTTAATACACATGCATAATTAGATTTCTTATATAAATAATACTATGTTTGATGGAAATATAAGGCACTATTTCAAACTCTATTCCATTAAGTCAATCCCACTACTGGCAATGTATTGTGAAATGCTGAGAGTGCTGTGACATGGTGGCGATTTCTACAGTTTATAAGAATTAAGTAGTTTTATTATGTCCTCTAGTTGGTTCCTATGACTGGGACCCCAGAGAAAATACAATTAAAGAAATCAATACCAATAGAAAATACATGAACTTTATTATTACAGGTGTAGTTTAAAACCAAACACAAGCCATAACTATTGCATGGCAGAAATAAGTCTCCATGGAGTTTGATCAGCAGTAGAAATGGACTTTGTGGAACTGATCATTTAAAGTCCAAAGAACAGGCAGTAAAATAAAGCAGCACGTGGGAAAAGCAGGGTGGGGAAATACCAGAACAGTACTGAATTTTCTACGTCCATTAGGAAGGAAAAGGACTACTGTGAAACTACAACAACCATCAAATGTAGTTTAATTTATAAAATTTTAAAACTCAAAACTTATAGAAAACACAAATATAAAATGTTTAATAAATTGGCTTTTTCATAACTCAAATGTTTACTTGTAACTGAAGTTAATTTCTTAAATCTATGTAATATAATGTATCAAATTCAGAAGCCAAGTGATTCATAGTATGTGTTGTTTATATTTAAAAAATACTTATATTTAAAATATTAAATTTTTAGAATTTAATATTTTAAAAAGTGCATAACAGGTATAAGAGAGGCTTATGAAAATTTTTAGAAACTGTCTTTTTAACAAGGTAAAAACACCAAATATCTATTTAAATTCATGTTGAAAATGTAGTTTGATAACCCAAATCAAAAGTACTGACCACTAGTTTTCTCCAGAATATTTCATTCTAAGTTTTCATATAATTTTCTAGCTTTTAAAAGAAACAGTTCTTTTTGTTTCATTAGAAAAGTTACCTCCAGTGGAATAAGTTAATAAATAGCACAATTCTTATTCAGTACCTAAATTTACTTAGGCAGAAATATGAAGTTTTATATTTTTCCCCAGTTTATGTTTTGGTCTATGGGGCTTGGTAACTGCAACACTCTTGGGCTGATACCATCATGGATTTTGCTTAAAGTTTGAGGGGAAGAAAAATTTTAAATCCCACAGGTCAAAACTGAATCGTATCAACTGACAGGTTCCACTTTTAATGAATGAAGGGCAATTGTAAAATGGAAAAAAAAAAAAAAAAGAATTAAGGCAGCTCTAAAAGAAAATGAAACTTAACTACCTAAAATAGTGCTACCGTAATATAATTTATTCCTTAAAAAAGCTGTGTGTCTAATCTGAACATAAAAGCCAAAAATCAAAACAGGCATTGCACAGTTATGATGCAGCATCAGGTGCTTTTACTTCAGTGAATGAAAAAAAAATGGTCACAACTCAAACGGTAATTTAAGATGAGTATATGCACCTGACCAAAAGTACTTGCGTTTACTACCAGAAATGTCTTAGCAATTCCATAATCCTCACAAAGTCAGTACAACTGCTGTAAAAAAATCAACTGTGGTTCTGAATATCCATTCACTGTTGACCTCAACAATGTATCCGATGTAGGAGACTGGTTATCTGTGACAGGAAGGAGCACGTGGTGGTCCTCAGTCCCAAGTGGAAGAGCTAGTGGTAAAGTCATATCAGAAGGCTTCACATCCAAAGTTTCTGATAAAGGGCTTTTTTGTATGGAATCCTGTTCACTCAAGGGATGATCCTCCATACTAGAGTCTAGAATTTTATCTGCCCCTGAAATGGAAGGGGAAAAAATTTTTGCTATCTTTAAAAACAAAACAAAAACCTAGATGTAGAATCTTACCATTCCCAGGACTTGCATTCAAACCACCACACCTTTACTCATGCTGTTTCTCTTTTGCTGATTTGCCCTCCTAATTACCTATACAAATCCTACATGGGCCTCAAGACTAGGTCCAAGCACCAACTCCATTATAAAAATGGGCTTAATTATTCTAGACCAGGGTGAACTGTTTCTCATCTGTTTTATCACTCATTTGTCAATGTTTCATATAGTGCCTTGTGACATCCTCTCTCTTACTGCTCTTTAACACTCAACTTAGGTATGTCTTGAATTTAGTTACCAGACTGTAAATTCCTTCAGGGTAAATGTCAAGTTATACTTCTCAAATTTCTTCAAAGCACCTAATAGTACTATACATTTAATAAATACTCTATTTGTTCCCTAACTGTATTAATGAGTTGTTCATACTATTCTGTAAGTTCAAGTTCAGAGGTATGTCACTTTCATATACTTTCAGAGGTGAGAAATTCTGCTCTACTCAAGGGAATAATTATCACACTGACTAAAGGTACATTTTGCCTTCAAATTTTCCACTAGCTTTACCATGCTCTTGACATTCAAAAAGTACTGACATTTCAATCTCACTGTCATCATTAGACAACACTGTGTATTTGCTTTCATAAAATTATAATTCTCTCTTCTTGCAGACTTTCCAGTTCAACCAGCCAAGAATATGGCCTATGCTTTCTCATCCCAGTGACTCTCTTCACAATGTTCTTTCTGCTTGAAATGAGCCTTCCTTTCCTATCTCCATGCTCTGAACTCTTCTCCGTCCTGCAAATTCCCTAGGATTAAGCCTTTCAATACTCCCCTCAGAAGTACTTAATCTCTTCTTCAGCACTCTATTATAATGTCTCTATTATAGCCTATATTTTGTCTTGTAATTATATTTATGTAGATTTCTGTTCTCCCACACCAGATTGTAAATTCTTGCAGGATTACGACTATGCCTTATTTAACTTCATATACCCTGAAGTTAGGTGTACTTTAGAGGTATTTAATAAATGTTTGTTGAATTAATGACTCAATATAGTTTTCAGATGTTACTGATTAAATCTTTATGTTTATATTTACTATCAAAAGACTTACACACTTGGGGCATAGAGTGGGGGAAAAAAAAGACTTACACACTGAAGAAGCTTGTTTTGTTTCTAATCATGAAGGAAAAAAATGATAAGCACAATGAAACTTTTTCAAGGATTCATTTTAAGCAATAGACTTAAAATTTTGTAGTCTGAGGGCCGGCCAAGTAGCTCAGTTGGTTATGAGCTCGCTCAAGAGTGCGAGCTCTGGGCCAGCTGAGTGGCGCGTTGGTTAAGACCTGGCTTGGGACGCCAGCTCTGAGCAGCAGGGCCCCGGTTCAAATCCCACATGAGGG